CAATTGCTTTGATATTACATATATAGGTACTACATGTGGACCTCTCTCAGATTTGTTCATTTTGTAATGATATCTTCAATTCTCTAATTTTGGTGAATATTTTTGTAATTTTTGGTAAAAAGTGATATTTTCGACTTCTTGTTGAAAACCGCAAGTCCAATTGCTTTGATATTACATATATAGGTACTACATGTGGACCTCTCTCAGATTTGTTCATTTTGTAATGATATCTTTAATTCTCTAATTTTGGTGAATATTTTTGTAATTTTTGGTAAAAAGTGATATTTTCGACTTCTTGTTGAAAACCGCAAGTCCAATTGCTTTGATATATTATACATATAGGTACTACATGTGGACCTCTCTCAGATTTGTTCATTTTCTAATGATATCTTCTGTTCTTTAATTGCCATGTGCATTGCTAACAGCGGAGCTATCTCAGCCGACAGGCTGCTTGTTCCTATATTCTACATTCAACTTGTCAAAAATTAGTGAAAATAAATTCAATACAAATCACCCAAAAAGTCTTTTCAGCGAAAATTAATTCCAGCTATAATTAAGTATTTTACAGTAGATGATAAAGTTATTGAATAATTTCTCCCAAGTCTACAATGGGTGTAAAAGTGTGAAAACTATGTTAGTCATTATTTTCAAAAATATTTATAGTCAAAGGAATCTTACTTTATACTTGTCTGACTACATCTGACCAACTATATTAGCAAGCTTCATACCAAAAGCTCTCCTCTGATGTGATTTGTCAAGAGCATGCCTTACTTAAACATGCTATGTAACTCTGAGACCTCAACATTACTTGTTTAAGATAAGTGTATATATAGTCAGATTTAGTTATTGAAGCATGTATATCGACAATCATGCACTGAGACCATATGTTAATTGAAAGCGATCAGAGCTTTTTTATTTTCTTTAGCCCACAATGCATGGCTTGATGTTAACTTTCAAACTCAGTTGTTCCAAATTTGTTGGTTTCCGATATATTCAGTATAACCTGTGAAGGCAAGTGCATTCATATTTAAAGTGAGTATAGGGATACCTTAGTGTTTTTAACAGATTGAATAATAATTTATTGCAAAGTTAACTCCAATATGTACACATATTTTCAGATATATTTTTTGACATAGACAAAACAGCTGCCATTACCTATTTTTTATTTCCTGCATAAATAATTTTTTTTTTAATAGTGATGAAGTACTATCTTGACAAATAGTTTTCCATAATATGAGGTTATTACGAGGATACCTCAAAGTATGCATGAAGAAAGTACAGAGTATCGTCCAACGCGCAGCTTAGGTCGATGGGACGGTGTACTGTCTGAGTGCATACTTTGAGGTAACCTCGTAATAACTTTATTATTATACATCTTTTCCTTCCAAGGATACATCATGAGAATGCCGAAATCCAAAAGGTTTAGAACAGAATCAGCAAACTTCTTTGTCTGGAGTCTCGTCAAACCTTGGTGACAGCCATGTTTGTTGTCATTATATATTACGGCACGCTGCAACTTACGGCGTTATGGTGACAGATGTATAATAATTGTTGATATTCCCACTGACTTTAATTAGAAACATTCTTTGATATTTTTTGAATATTTTAGTTGATTGCTGTATGATTGTAACCAAATTCACCCTGCTTATGTTCATGACTATCACTCCACAGCAATTCTATTTATATTATGATCACATGTTCTGTATTTGCTCTATAGGAAGCACACATAGACCAAAATTTACATTATTTATCGACTTGAGCATTATAGGATAGTGGTCGTCACACAGTATGTGTTTGAAGTTTGCATAAACTAATGATGTATTTCTAAGTGTTGTATACGATGTAAGTCCCATATACAGGAAGTGGCGCAACGACCACTGCTCTTTAAAATACGACTTGCACCATAGACTTGCTTAGTGTAATTTACATAAGCACGCAGGGCAATTATAATAGTGCAAATATGGTATCTGTTTAAATCTAATAGGATTTAGTGAAAATAATGCATTTCAGTAAAATTTTATAGTTTCTATAGTTACCTTTATTTTGTACTCACAGTATTTTATATATTTTGTTTATGATTTTACAAATTTTTTGTCAATGCAAGATACTTTATAGTGAGTATCATTCCCACTATCTACCCCTGGTGTCTAATGCTTTGTAGTGAATGTCATTAAAATATCCATTGATATGTACATTAGATATGTCTGTCTAATTTTAATAGACAAATTTAATCACCAGGTAATTCCTGAGAAGGGGACGAAAAGCAAAACCTCAGTTTTCATATGCTAATCTAAAAATAACAACTGTGTTAAAAGCTTTGATGTGTTCATACACAGTATAGACCAATTATGCAAATGTACTGTATTGTAACTGGGCACTATAGAATACCCCTTGTGGTGTTTATACTATTGATTTTTTTTAGTTTTAAAAATGAAAGTACATGTAGCATTTTTTATTTATAACCAATGAATTATTATATTGTTAGTTTCTTATTTATAATTGTGAACTTTTTGAGATTATTTTCAAATAAATCATAATTTATGAAACAGAACTTTATCAATAAGGTCACTTAAATATGGTAATCTCCTGGCATTCATAATGCCATCAGGTGAAGCATGTTTATATTTATAAATACATGTATTTATATACCCAAGTGTTCGGCACAAGCAAAAATGGTGTGATTTAATTTTTTTTTACACACATTTTGTTCATAAATTTCATTTTACCAAATTACAATTTTTGTAACTATAATACAGGTATGAATGAAATAATTTCCTGAGTTGAACTAATGTACTACGTAAAATACACAAAGGCAGAATTAGGGGTTCTAGGTTACCATGCACCCAATAGATTACTAATGTCTGTATAAGGGATACGAGGAGTTCTGTGGATTCCATCTCGACATTGCAATTCCAGTTATCAAGAGTATGTAGTTTCCCCGTATAGATTTTAGTATCCCAGCTTCCGTTGATTGATCAAGAATTTGATCAACAACAAAGGCGAATGGATAATACTAGCCTATGACATCAATTGTATCGACCAGCTCTACAAGTAATATCCTGTTATTTCTGATAAATATTTTCAAGACAATTATAACAGCAAGTTATTTTATTTTATTGGAATTAATTTATACATTAGGAATAATTCTTGAAATTCAGTGAACACACTAATATGTTGAATACTACATGTACTCTGGCATAATTTTAATATTCTTTAAACAAATTTATTTACCCTGTTCTAATAGCTATAACCCAGACAGTCTATGCAGTGTTTCATTCACTGAGGCCTAGCTACGATGCTAGTATTATAACCACAGATTTGATTGGATGAATGAATTGATACCATCATTATCTAAGTGGATTTATATGCTTTGTGTGTGGGTGATGTTTGCACGAATGGTTAATGAGATATTACTAGCATTGTACCTAGGCATTAGTGGAGTACATGGTATGGAATGCTGTATATAGTCTAGGCAATTGTACTTCCAATTTGCATAAATTAAGCACCAATCTTCGTTAAGTGCATATTCAACAACAGATATACAATAGACCATTTTCCGTTCACTGCGAGAATCACGCGTGAAATCGAACGTAAAAACAGGACAAACAAAGGTCATAGCGTCGTAGTGGCGTCAAACATCGCGTGAGATTTGACAAACGCGCAAGTATTTTGGGGAACATTTCCATGTCAATAATGTGCTGTTCACATTTGATGATGGGCAATTTCGATTAAGTGAGGATATTCGAATGCAATATTCCTCTGTCGAAGATCGGCCGGTCGATGTGCGCTACGAAATAAAGAAATTAGAGTTCAAAATCAAATCGTTCGAATTTTGCGGCAGACGTTCGCTGCGCGTCTTTCATGCATCTCGCGAGATCTCGCAGTTGTACGGAAAATCACCTATTTGCAAGAATCCTATATCAAACACTGCTACGGTCCTTGAGTGATTACAGGTTGTGTACAATCTGAATATCTTTGGTTTTAAAAATGTTATTTATTGACACAGATTACATATATCTGTACTTGGCATTGTTTTATTAGTAAGCTCAATGTTTTCCAAACTACCAGGCAGCCCCGGGAGTCAACTTAATGTGTTATAACAACAATTCTAGAGCATGAAGAGTTTCAATCTTTGAATATATCCGATACAAACAAAAAGTGACTATAAAGACATGATTGAAATTTAATTTTAAATCGACAAAAAATAATAAAAATAAGTTAGCATTTCAGTTAAAATAAATAAAATATGCAAATAAAAAAAAATAGAACCCATAAATACTGGTAGTCTACAAAAAAGTTGTCCACACTCCAAGTCGAAATGTTGATTTGCTCTAGACTATTAGTATTGAACACGCTTATAAGTGTGGATAACAGAAGTGTGTCGATAGTTGAAATAAGTCAGATTTTAATGACCCAGCATACAAGAAATTCATTTCTTTTTGGGATTATGTACACTTCATTCTAAATGAGCAAATATGGTAATTGCTAAGAAGGGTACATGTACATGAGTGACAATTTTTACCCTTCTGTGAATCGCGTCACAGAAATACAGACTGTTAGGTTTTCCGATGATTATTACAATCACAACCTGTATATCATTTATTTCAAAACGACTAATAAAAATGCAGAGTAAGAAAAATGTCGTCTGGAACAGGAACGCGGTAAATAAACAGAAATTGAACTGCACGCGAGCAGAAAATAAACAAACACTGATTGGTCAATGCCGACCACATGCAGACGTAGATTGACCCTTATTAACATAATTTATGCATTTCACTTGGATATCGGCAGTCTCACTGCAACATTGAATATAACAATAATAACTTTGAAATTAATAACAATATTAATGTTCGCGACACCTTCCAAAAGGAATACCACACTATGCATGTTTGCTGTACTCTAGTTAATACTGCTGTACAAGGTACACTGGTCATCACACGATAACAAATTATACAAATAAAGTAAAAAATACACTTGGTGTAAATGCAAAATAATTATTTTAGTAGCGAACAATGGAAAAACATCAAATTATTAAATAGAAAACAACGTAGAAAAGATGCAAAACATTTGAAAAAAATAAATGAAAATGTAAAGTAACCATGGTAAATGGTAAAACATTAACACCATCTTTGTAGTTTATTTTTTCCCTAATTGTAATTAACATACAAGTGGCAAGTTTGCCCGTGATAACACTGTAGTACATTCACAAGAAAGTTATTTAATTGTTAAACTATATAGTATCTCTTTACAATTGTAATTCAGCATAAATATCACTTCATTTGCATAAATATTACTTCATTTGCATAAATATTATCTAGTGCTCTATGTATCAAATGTAAATTATCGCATTCAATCTATCAGTAGAATATATGATTTTATATGACAGGACACCATAGCAACCATACTTTATGAAAATTATAGTTATAACCACATTACCCGTATGAAGACAGTCACTCTCCCGGGCAGTCTTATAACCTGAAACTAGAGAGCCACAGAGAGCCACAACTAGAGCACTCCCTGGCGACGACTACCTAGTATAGTGATAAAAGACTCGTAATCTCTGAAGGAGAATTGATGTTGGTATGCGTGAATCAAAGGGCAGTGAGCTACTTTATGATTGGTTAAGCCAGAGTTCCATTTACATGCAAATGTTGGTAGACACTCACCATGGTGTCTCCATAGTGTTAGTGACGAAAACTCTGATTTTCAAATGAGCAAAAAGACAATATTGTGTTATTAAACAATTATTACTGTAAACCGATTTAATTTTGAGACATATTTTTGCAGATTTTGTGAGTCAATTGCAAAATTTTGTAGAAGCCCTGTTTTTCATACAAAGCTGCACACACATTACATTAAGTGTGATGCATCATGGGAAAATAATTATGCATTTAGGGCCTCTGTGAGTTTTCACCGATTTATCAACTTAATTTAAAAAGAGACTGTGACAGTAAAAAAATTAAAGCACTGTGGCAGTACGGCACAGATGTTTGTATCCTGGGAAGAACACTGGCAACACAATCTTGCGGTTTCCTTGACCTTTGAAATAAAAGAGTTATACTCAAAAGTAACAATAGGAACAGAAAAAAAAAAACATTGCAGATATTTTCCTTACCCATAAAACATACATTCCCACTGGTTTTAAAAGCCGACAAGGAGCTATCAGCATCACTGCACTGCAGAATTCAGTAACAAATGGCATCAAATAAAAATATCAGTTAACTGTATAATATTGCTTGGGCGAATACGATACAAAGAAATGTCATCGAAAACTAGTCCATGCGGCATCCGTGCACTGCGAACTTTATTGACTAAATCCCATCCTGCAGTAATATCACCGTTCAAACCAGTGAACTCCCCTCGGATAATGTAAGTAAAAATGCCAGTGCGACTGAAGCGTTTATAAATCCCTAAATTGTGCATTCCCAAATCATGTCCAGCTCTGTGGTCTATGAATCTTAACACTGACCACTCCTGCCATCTCTCTTCAATGTTTTTCAGAGCAATTTCTTCTGAAGCCTGGAAAAAGATAAATGTTTTACCATTACTTTCGTAATTGATGAACATATATACAACTACTCATTTTAATAAACTGTTGTAGGTCTTGATCAAAAATACTGAAAAATATGAAAAACATTTTATTTTGACAATGTATTTTAGTCAGTGACTTGTATTGTCACAGAGGTATGCATGGCACTTGCACATTACAGTGAAAGGCACACTATTTCCATTCACCAGAGTCAGCAGAATACAAGTTTGTAAAAAGTGGGGATAGTTGGGTATATATACTTAAATGAAAGTTTCCTTCAATGTAAATAATAAATCAGGAAAGCCAATAATGACATTCTAGTCATAGTTGGGAACTGTACTCTGGCCTAAAAATCTATAAAAAATTAAATAAAGGCGGTTCAAGCCAAAATCAAATTTTTTACCAATGAGCATGCTTTGCATATATGAAATGCATTATGGGAGAGATCTCTAAATTTTGTTAAATGAAGAAATAATTTTAGACAGCAGTGTAAAATTGCAAATTTTGACTATTTTCCATTGCATTTCAGACTTTCTTTTTGTTTTTTTGGTATTTATAGCATTAACCTATAATGATATAATCAAGAAGAAGATGAGATATACTGTTTAATTTGGCCTAAACTTACATAAACTACAAAATTTGAATTATATGTTTACATTGTTTCTTTGACATTAAGTATATGTTTTTATTCTAAAAATTTGGATACAGGAATTGCTTGACATGTTTGTTCAACGTCATGTTACACCTTCAAGCATATTGCCGTTTCCTCACTTGATCACAAAATCAGCTCAAATATTATTAGTAAAACATAATCATCATTATCACTTATGCCAAATGGATTTACTGTAAAATACTTTCAGCTGGAATTAATTTTTTCTGAAAAGACTTTTTGGGGATTTGTATGGGGTTTATTTTGATGAGTTTGTTTGATGAATTGAATGTAAAATATACGACAAAACTGGAAATCTTATTTTCACTAAATCATCCCTTCAGCAAAAATAGCCAAAATAAATTCTGAGTGTTAATAAATTAATTTACAGTAACCTCACTCTTTTTTTTATTGTATTCTGTTTCACAAGATGTTTTTTTTAATCCAAATATTATATGTATGTAATTAAATGCATTATTTAATAAATGTAATACATTGCACATTTCACCTTCTTGTTGTGGTATTTAATTATAATACAAACAAAATTAGGCTTATTTTTTTTCAATTTTCCTTGGCTTAAACTTACCCTGTATGATGCTATGATAAAGACTGACTTGTCACTCTGAGGTATAGTTGGAGCAAATTGTACACCGTGTATTGTTGACAACTCCCGATACTCTCCTGAAACCAAACAAGTACCTGTTACAAACTTGTATTAATCAACATTTAAAAATGGATATTCATTCCTGTGAAAATGTAAACTATCAAAAACTAGTTTCCTAAATAACTGGGAGCACATTGGGATCATAGTGATTAACTTTGGCAAAAGTATTGTCAGTGAATTAATGGTTGTTGTGACATCACAGAGTGCATGTTTGAAGTGCATGTAAACATTGCTTCGAGACCCATATCAATCACAACACGGTGAGGTCACAAGACAATAACATGTGCTGAAAATGCAACAGTTCATGGGTATACACTCATTAAACAACGACAGATGATGGCTATCTGTCGCATATACAGGTGAAGACTGCCTTCAGCTTTAACTTGAACTTCAAAGACAACTGCTTGCATTATTGATCTAAAATTGTTCCAATTGTTGGATTTTCATGAAAATATTAACCTTTGTGAAATTCTTGTCCTACGTTGTATGCCCCATGCAGCATATTACCCCAGTCTGGTGTTGATAGAGGAGGGTCTTCAGTACTGTTATAACCACGGCGACTAAACTCGTGGTAAGTAATAATTTTATATTTACCTGCAGTAAACAATAAAAAGAGTTCATTCCATAGTATATATACTAGGTATATTTAAATTATGTTCACGTTAAGGTAACGGCATATCACATAAACATTAAAGCGAGGAAGTCGTCACCTGCGCATGCACCAGATGGCCATAACAATCAAAAGTATTGTTTTCATCACAAACCAATGAATTACATGTATAAATCTTGCGAATACATCTCTGCAAAATCAAATCCACTGAAATTAAACTTGATGCTTATTTCTTGTGCACTTGTTTAAAGCGAGGGAGTCGTCACCTGTGCATGCGTCAGATGGTCATAGCGTCTCATTGTTTACAAACAAGCGTCTACCCATGAGCCTTTGCGTTTTCAGCATGTGTTGTTATCATCGCTTGGGACTCAATTCCCACGCACGCTCAAGTGACGACCCTCTCGCTTTAAGTGTGCCGCACAAGTGGTTTGTGTACCACAACCATCACATGACCAAGATTTAACTAATTAGTAAGCCTTAAACGATGTTGACAGTTTCCGAATTACTGACAGACATGATGTAATTCTATTTTTGCATGCATAACCTACCAAGCAATGGGCGAGGATAAGACAGAAATATAAAGTCAAAATGAACAATAGAAGTGCAGCCCTAATGATTTAAAAATCCCACAATGCAATGCCCTAAAAATGGTGAAATTAATAAAAAGACTATGCCATTGCACTGAGATTGTTATAAAAATATTTATAAATAAAGAAGCTCTGTGAATGTTGAGTTGCTTGATTTCATTTGAACCTTGTTGGCACTAACTTAAGTCCCAAAGTAAATAACACACGAAATTGCCAATTGCATGTCTGGTTGTCCCTGACAACAATATAAAAACTCGCTGCCCATCAGGACAACCAAAAAAATATTTACAGAAATCGCACTATTCAATAGTTCAGTATCTATCATTGTTGAAAATAACGTGTTTTTTTTCAACATTTTCAAGTTGTTTGAAAACCCAGATCCTTGCATAACTTTCCATAAGTTAACCAATATTACTCTGGTTTTAGTTTGTGAATTGCTCAGGTTTATTTTTTTTTTATTTCGCTTTCTTGCAGTTCTCAAAGTTCTGCAAGTCTTGATATTATTCCAGCCATGTAGTGATGTGAAATTTTCTTCCTGGCGAAAGTTAAAACTCGCAACCTGTTTAGTGATCTGTATTATACCACAGGCGCCTGTGTATAATATACCAGAACAAGCATGGGTCAACTGACCAATATTTCATTTCACTCTTACCTTTCGAATCCAGATTTTCGTGAAGCTGGGCGGACAAAATATCGTTGGAGTATTTAAAAACAACGGAACACATGGCCTTCCACTCGTCAGCAAATGTCTTGAATCCAGGAGTCGGTGGGCATTTTTTAAAAAAATTAAAAATGATAAAAGGACTATTCTGTAACGAAGCCGACCGGCACAGCGCCGCCATTTTGCATCCAGCAAAACACTACTGACGTCACAGGGGTCATTGACCGGAGGATCTGACAATTGGGTTATGAAACTACGAGTACATGTATTCTCACAGACGGACCGGAACAGGAAGTCAGTAGAAGACAAAAGATTTTTTCGTTAGCTTGGGGGAAATTTGGTTAGCTTGAGGGAAAACAGAGGTGTTAATCCGAAAATTCATTGTCTTTTCCTGTTTGTGATTGGTCCTGGCAACGTTTGGGGGATCGTGATGTAGCTCCGACTGTGAGAATGTCTCAACATAGACCTTAAAAACAAGTCTTTTAAGGTATATGGTCTCAGATGCCTCCCTAGCGTGCAATATAGGGCATGTTACAGCACAGGTTACAGTTAAGCACTGTTCACGATTTCACGATCCACGTGTGTATTTGCCAGTATTAATTAACATAAAATTCTTTACCATTACGGCCAGCAACGTCCGGCTTCAACGCATAAATTGGTCGTAACGCTTTTTTAGCGGGGGGGGGGGGGGCAAGGGAGATAGTTGATACAGGTTACAGAAAATAAAAACGTCATTTTACGTTTTTACAGGAAATAAAATGAAAGTTTCATTTACAGTAAAAAATAAGTTTTTAAACTTTACAGATAAAGCAAATTCCTAATTACATTTTTATAACATTTTTGATAACTTTTAATAATTATATAAAAAAAGGCACTATTATATACAGGCACTTCACTTATTTGGGATTACTCTAAGCATCAATGGCAAATTCAAGGAAGAGATAGAATCTTTAAAAAAAATCTTTTCACTGGAAGAAAAAGTTGGTGATCTAATCTATATTTAAATACAATATTGTCTCTGTTTGACAAATTAATTAGACCAATTAATCAGTCTAGCACACGGTAGTGACATTTGAGGACAAGAGAGCTATTACAAATCTGACATAGAAAATGTTTATTTACACTTTTTATGATTCATCCTAGACGTGACAACAAACAAATATGAAGAACTGGCTCACTTTCCAATAGATGAATAAGTATTATAACCAAGCAATGGATACACCAAACTAACTTAAACAGATAACCAAATAGTAAATGTTATTGCGTAATAACTCCCGAATTAGATAAGATTAATAGAAAACAAATTAATAGATATAAATACTATAAATACAAGCACTAAACAAAGACAATGTATAAAAAATGTATAAAAAAACAAACAATATGCATCATTCGCTGCAACTAAGAAATAAATTCAAATAACTCCGACAATATCAAACGAGACAAAAAACAGAGGACATGCAGAAAATTCAAGAAAATGTTTGAAATGGAAAAGGAACTCGTTTCAGTGGAAGGCTATTTAAAATTGACGCAACATACGTACTAGGTTTTTTTTTTTTTTTTTGTAAGGTCTTATTTTCAAATTACATATTCCTTATACAGTAAAACTAATCAATCATATAACATGTTGTATGACATTAGAGCCTCGACATTTTGTCACCGGAATAACATATCTAAAAGTAACCTAGTTTCCTGTTCTTCTTATCCTATTCCAGTCTCGTGACCCCCTCCCCACGCGTCAGTTTACGAGCTTACATCTGACATGCACAGGTGATAAGAATGTATTGCTATATTTCTTTGAGGGCGACCAGTGTTTGAGCGCCCTGGGTTTGTGTAAAAAGTATTGATCATATGAATTATTCCTTCAACACCAGCCTAGGCTTCAAATAGGTAAGTTTTGCATGGTCTTTACAGAAGCGTGTAACTAAAACACTAAACCGTGGAACTACGTCGTCACTTGCATTATGTAGTAAGAAAGTTTCTATTGTCGTGTTTGTTGAGCACAATTGTTTCATTGTCGTAGAGAACAGCTGGTACAAGTAGCTCGAAACAACGAAAGTCGCGATCGGCGCCGATAAATCTGGTCAGATATCTAAGACAAACGATTATGTGGCTATATTAACCTCATCGAATTAGATTCAGATTTAAAATTCCACAATAGTTGTATATTTTGTTAATACTGACATTGATTGCATTTTTTTCTGACTAGAGTGTATGTAATTTACTCTTTATATATCATCTTTGTCGATTTCTCTGACAAAAGCATACTTGTAAAAAAGAGTTCACTCCTGACACCATGAAAATAAAAACACACCACCACACGTTCCCGTTATTTCCTAACTCTAGAGAGTGTTTAATTGATTGGACAGGTAGGAAAATATTACAACCCAAAGAATTATATAGTAATATTACCTCCCTAAAAATAAACAAAACAATAGATAATGACCACCACCATAATTTAACTGAAAGCTGTATTATTGATGACAAAATCTATGAGATACTCGTTAAACTGACAGTATCCAAATAACCTCACACAATTGAAGATAGTTAAGTTTCCTTTTCAACATAACCCCATCAAATCGAGTTTATCGACCATAGATAGAGCATGCAAACAATCTTTGCACCATATAGGTTTGCGAGCTTCAAACCACTTGATCGCCACATTGTTGATTTCCACTTATGGTTTTCTTGTATCTAACCAATACCACAGCCTCATCTAGATGGTTGCCTGGTGTTGAAGACAAATATAATGAATGTATTAAGTTTGTACATTTGATAATATTTATGCTAGCATGTTATAACTGCAAGAATTGTTTTATCTTCCAATTCATTTACGTTCCAATCGGCTTTACTTAATCACATGACGTATAACACCATCCTCATCATTTCTCACATCCCTGTCGAACTACATACTTGACAAATTGCCAAATATTTCACACAGTGTCAAGTAGTCGGTTCTGCCTATCAACATCACACCAACTTATCGGCCTTCCAGGGAACAGTGGAATGTATTTGCATTCACCGATATCCACAAACTTTATGAAAAAACGGTAATGTTGAATATATAGTTTTAAATGGATGTACATGTACCAGATTAATAATGCAAAGTACTTTTGTGTACTATGCAGGTACACAATAGACTTTAATTAGTTGCAATTCACAATATTTAGTCTAGCACCCGGGGTATGTTCTCGCCTCAGCTGGCTCGTCACCTAGTTCGAAGCAGTCACACTACCAGTCACTGGCAACTAATGGTACGTACTATGCCGAGAAGAGGTAGAATGAAACTGACTAATGACGTGTCTACGTGTAGAGGATTTCGTGTAGCCATTCCGTCCATGCTTAACTTCTAATTCCACGATTCCGTAACAATGAATACACTTTTTGCATGTCAGCTATCTAAGAAACAACTCGTATAGCGAGTTCCAGGGAACAGTGGAATGTATTTGCATTCACCGATATCCACAAACTTTATGAAAAAACGGTAATGTTGAATATATAGTTTTAAATGGATGTACATGTACCAGATTAATAATGCAAAGTACTTTTGTGTACTATGCAGGTACACAATAGACTTTAATTAGTTGCAATTCACAATATTTAGTCTAGCACCCAGGGTATGTTCTCGCCTCAGCTGGCTCGTCACCTAGTTCGAAGCAGTCACACTACCAGTCACTGGCAACTAATGGTACGTACTATGCCGAGAAGAGGTAGAATGAAACTGACTAATGACGTGTCTACGTGTAGAGGATTTCGTGTAGCCATTCCGTCCATGCTTAACTTCTAATTCCACGATTCCGTAACAATGAATACACTTTTTGCATGTCAGCTATCTAAGCAACAACTCGTATAGCGAGACCAATGGTTTTGTTTGTGTCTTGTGCGCAAAAGCAAAGTCTGTAATTATATATAACCCAAGAACAATTCAATGTAATGATAATGCAGAAGCAACTACACAAAATTCAGAAATACAATCCCTGTATAGTAGGATTTTTTACTAAGCAAACTTTTTAGACATTAAGAAAACAATGAGACTTTGTTCTCATCAAGGTCATGCATGTACGGTGGCAAGTGATGGGATAAAAGGAATAATAATATTTCATTCTCCGATTTGCCCAGTGTATTGGCCCTAACCGGATTTTGTTTTTATTTCTCCTTCTACTTGATATATAAATTCAAACCACGTCTCGACAAAAATGCTTTACAGGTGGCTTGTTCCACGTAATGGAAGTAATTGCTATGAATTTAACATATTGATCAAATACATATGTTACACTATGGAAACAGTTTTTATACAAACATTCTCAAATCCAACGATTGATCATATATATCTTTTGAAAATGTATGCAATTGTTAAAAATTTGGTTGACATGTGCTGGTACGTGGTTGTTGTTATATATTCCTGTTTACTGCACACTGTTTTCAGTTCTTTTACATGCCAGAATTATAGTGTCAAACCAGATACATTTTTAACAGATCGTTTGTGATTATTCGGTTTGAATGAAGAATGAAATGGTTTTTGATCGAAAACCCTTTGGTATAGGGCCATGAGAGAATGAAATGGTTTTTGATTGAAAACCTTTTGGTATAGAGCCATGAGAGAATGAAATGGTTTTCGACCGAAAACCCTTTGGTATAAGGCCATGAGAGAATGAAATGTTTTTCGATTGAAAACCGTTTGGCATAAGGGCTATGAGAGAATGAAATGGGTTTCGATTGAAAACCCCTTGGTATAAGGCCATGAGAGAATGAAATGGTTTTTGATCGAAAACCCTTTGGTATAGGGCCATGAGAGAATGAAATGGTTTTTGCTCG